CGCAAAAGGGCCGAGGCGGCTGCGTAGGCGGACGCCACTGCAGAGCAAGATGTGGCCGAGGCGCCGCACTACAATGCTATTTGATCACTGGTGGGCCGCGCACATCGTCGCCGTGGGGGCGCGCGCACCCAACATGCCGTGGTGGCTGGTGCGCCGCGCACATCGTCGCCGTGGAGGCGCGCGTACCTACCAATGCCGTGGAGGCTGGTGCGCCATCGTCGCCGTGGAGGCGCGCGCACCCACCAATGCCGTGGAGGCTGGTGCGCCGCGCACATCGTCGCCGTGGGGGCGCGCGCACCCGACATGCCGTGGAGGCTGGTGCGCCGCGCACATCGTAGCCGTGGAGGCGCGCGTACCCACCAATGCCGTGGAGGCTGGTGCGCCGCGCACATCGTCGCTGTGGAGGCGCGCGCACCCAACATGCCGTGGAGGCTGGTGCGCCGCGAACATCGTCGCCGTGGAGGCGCGCGCACCCAACATGCCGTGGAGGCTGGTGCGCCGCGCACATCGTCGCCGTGGAGGCGCGCGTACCCACCAATGCCGTGGAGGCTGGTGCGCCATCGTCGCCGTGGAGGCGCGCGCACCCAACATGCCGTGGAGGCTGGTGCGCCGCGCACATCGTAGCCGTGGAGGCGCGCGCACCCACCAATGCCGTGGAGGCTGGTGCGCCGCGCACATCGTCGCCGTGGAGGCGCGCGCACCCACCAATGCCGTGGAGGCTGGTGCGCCGCGCACATCGTCGCCGTGGAGGCGCGCGTACCCACCAATGCCGTGGAGGCTGGTGCGCCATCGTCGCCGTGGAGGCGCGCGCACCCAACATGCCGTGGAGGCTGGTGCGCCGCGCACATCGTAGCCGTGGAGGCGCGCGCACCCACCAATGCCGTGGAGGCTGGTGCGCCGCGCACATCGTCGCCGTGGAGGCGCGCGCACCCACCAATGCCGTGGAGGCTGGTGCGCCGCGAATGTCGTCGCCGTGGAGGCGCGCGCACCCGACATGCCGTGGAGGCTGGTGCGCCGCGCACATCGTCGCCGAAGAGGACACCGTCGCGCCAGTGTTGCAGGACATAATGAGGCTGCAAAAGCGAAATGCCGCGCGGGGATGCCGATGCTGCGGAAACGCCAAGATGCTGCAGTAGTGGACGCCGCTGCACGATGTTGAGGGACATGTGGACGAAGGAGAAGCTACGGAAGCAGACCGTCGCGGAGCCGTCGCCGAAGAAGAAAACGTCGCGGTGCCGTCGCGGCAGAGGAAGTCGTGACGCTAAAAAAAAAAACAAACAAAAAAAACACACACACACACACGATTGCCGAGCCGCCCCAAAGTAAGGGGATTTAACCCCAGGCCCAAAGAGGGGGGCATTTATGTAAGGTGTGTCGCGGTGTGTTTGTTAAGGTGTATCGCGGTATGTGCCTTTTGGTTTATAGCTAGTATCGCGGTATGTGCCTTTTGGTTTATAGCTAGAAATTCGTGTAGCGGTATGTTCTTTATGTTTTCGCTCGCCTTTTGACTCGCCTTTTGACATTTAGAAACACGTCGAGGTCAGCGTAGTCAGAACCGTAAGTCACTGTCGCCCGATCGATTTTAGCCTCAGACCGGGTGACAGGACTTATCCACCTTCGGGCGAGTATATAACCGCAGCGGGGAGTGAGAACGGGGTCAGTGCCTGTACGCCGACCAGGCTGCAACGCTGCACCCGACCTCATCCACGCTGCTGGTAAGCTGGCTCGAAGGTAGGTTCCGACTACGCAGGGATGCTGTGCGGGCTCAAGGCACATCCCATAGATAGGTAGGAGCAAGCGGGTGGAGGGTTAGGTTAGCATGCGCGGCGTTAGGGTATTGTTAGGGTAGATTGCGTTCGCGGTAGGAGATAGGCTTCTAAAATGATAACGTCAAATTAGCGCAGTCCGTTATGACCACATCACGAAATTATGAACAATAAATGGGGCGTTGAATTGACCAGATGCTTTTGGTAACGGGATGAGTCGGAGGAGAACGGTGATTGAGCGGAGTCTAACTTTATCGGTACATTAGTAAAGTCATCAATGGCCAGGAGCTTCACTCCTAAACCCATAAGGGCGCGCTACCAACCGCGGCGTGCCTCAAAATGGCGGAGTGATTCACACTGGTACCACGATGCATTGTAACTTAACGTAAAATAGTAGAATTAGACATTGGGATGTTCGTGGCCCGAGTGGCAGTCGGGCACAGGCTGGGAGACGTCTCAGCCTAACACGGACATCAAGTAGAGTAGTAGTAATACAATCAGAGGGGAGGCTGCGAAAGGCCAAAAGGACCGGCCCGAGCCCCCCCTACATACTTTATCCCATTTGGGATTGCCCGTAAGCCGAGCTCGCCCGTAGCCGGGTGCGGTGAGTGCTTGGGGGCTGCTCGGCCTATCCTTTGGTCAGGCTCAGCCCCGGCAACTCACCAGGGCCGGGCCCAGTTCATATAGAAAGGCCAGTCGGCAAGTGTCACTTTGCCAAAGTGCCACTTATCAAAGGGACACTTTGGGAAACGTTGGTGCAGGTGTGTAAGAGTGGCTATATGAATCCATTGTGGGGTCGCTCTTTCCAATAAGTGTCACGTAACAGCAATGGGACAAGGGGCTCTATATGAACTGGACCCAGGGTGCTCGCCAAGAAGACCAACGTCTCCATCCTATCATCCTTCCGGCTCTGAAATGGTCTTGTCAGACCAAAAGGGCATAACCCAACAAAACAAACTAAATTAGTCATCTGGCTGCGTGGTGTAGTGGTTAGCTCACTAACCTCGCGTTCAAATGACACGGGTTCGAATCCCATCGCCGGATGATGCTTTTGACGTGTTGTCCCAGTAAAAATGCCGACGTCGGCGACTGGGGGGCTCGAATCCCGCCGCCGGTTGATATTTTTGGCGCGTTGTCCCAATAACCATGCCGACGTCGGCCCCGTCGGTCCAACGACAAACGATCTCGTCAACCTCGGCAAACGACCTCGGCCCGACGTCGGCTCGACGTCGGCTGGACTTCGGCTGGACGTCGGAACATGCGGGCATATCCGACGTCCAGCCGATGTCGGGCCGAGGTTGAACCGACGTTGGGCCGACGTCGGGCCGAGCCTCGGCCCGACGTCGGGCCGACGTCGGCATGTTTACTGGGCAGATAGGTTTTCGGACACGGGCTACAAGATGGCTATCTCAGTTTCAATCCCCATGTTAAAGGTGGCCCTTTTCCTTTAACCCTCGCGGGCCCGGGGGGGGGGGGCGTTTTTCGCCCCCCCTGGCGAATATTTGCGATAACTCCCGAACGCTTAGGGATAGGAAGGCGAAACTTTCAGTACCTTTTCTCCCATCCATTTGACATCTTCTGAAGTAAAAAATTTGGACCTAGCCCCCTTGATGACGTCACAAGGTCCATTTATCTAGACCCCTGCACGGCAAACTTCGGCGTCACAGACGCAAACTTCAAATAGCTGCTAAAAATAGAGTTTTAGAGATAAAGACGAATTACGAGCACGGCTGTGTGGCGTTTGACCTAGAGAAAAATAGAAAAATAGTTTTGGTGACCTGAGGTCAGAGGTCAGGTCAACGACCCCGAAATGTGGTTTTAGTTTTTCGCAAATAACTTCGACAAAAATGGTCCTAGAGGTACGGCAGTGGTACCATCGTATTCGCCTTGTCAAGCCGCGTCGAATGATATATATTTTGTTCGGAAAAGGTCAAATTTCATGTTGACCTCATGTGACCTCGAATGACCTCTGGTTGACCTTGACACATGAAAGGTCGTTTATGACGGATTTGTACCCGCTGATCACGGATCTGGCATCTATTTTCCTCTAAGCCTTAATTTAGAGCTTCCGGATGGCAAAATTGTCTTATTTATTATTACTAACTTGAATCAGTGAAATAGCCTCTAGCAGGGATACTCTTCTGTGACCTTGACCTTTGGGCAGCCTTGTATCGTAAGATGAACCACAAATATGGAACTGATAAGCCTCAAAACATTTCAAAACATCTTTGAAGTTAGCACGCAAGATGTGCGAAAAAGTGCCAAGTTTGAGGTCAATTTTGAGCGTGACATTGACCTTGACCTTTGATTTGGAGCACATTTTCAGAATCCTCAGATTCTCTTCTTTCGTTTGACACCCAATTTTGCCGGTTTGATGCAGCCTGCCGTCCTCTAGAAGGCTTACTTTGAGATCACTACACATGTGCCGGTTTTGGCCTTTGACCTTGACCTCTGACCTTGAAAATTGACGTGAGGTCAAAAATTTTAGGTGCATTAGAATCGTCTCGTAAGGACCTTTCGTCTGGTATCGCTTTTGTTTCCGTAGCTCCCTTATTTACGGAGTTAGACAGGGGGGGCGAAAAACGCCCCCCCCGGGCTGCGGTGGTTGGGATTACCCCCCGGGCCCGGCCGGGTTAACGATGCCCACCTATGCTCTTGCCACAGCGCCAAAGCGGGACGGTTTAACTTTATTTCACCTCCAACAAAAATATATGTTAATACTTTTATTCATAGGTTTTGGTTCAGAAAGCTTTCAGCTTCGGATAGACAAAGTTTGGTTCTTCTATTGCTTGCAATCTATTCATGCAAGTAACTTTTTCCTTATCCCCCGGTAGGCAAACATCAGTAGGTAAGGTTAGGTTAGGTTAGGTTAGGGTTAGGTTAGGTTACGTTAAAATTGTAGACGAAAAAATGTCCGGACGAAAAAACGCACAGACGAAAAAATATACGAACGAAAAAATGTCCGGACGAAAAAATGTACAGACGAAAAAATGTACAGACGAAAAAATGCACAGACGAAAAAATGTACAGACGAAAAAATGCGAGACGAAAAAAAGTCAGACGAAAATCTGCGGACGAAAAATTGTCCGACGAAAATCTGCTGGACGAAAAACCGTCATGGAATCAGTGGACATCCAAGAGTGCATCCGGGATCGATGACGTCATAAAGGCTATCAGCTGACGAATGCAAACTATAAATTATAATCATATAGTAAAGCCTTGAATCGGTGCGTCTGCGGCAAAAGCAGCGCGGTACGAGTCCGTTTGGGATAGTAGGTAGGTGATTTTTAACGCCTTTTTTCGTTATTTAATCATAAACCAATACGTATTTTCCTCTTGGAAAAATTCTAAACGATAGGTAAGTCCTTCCCATTGCCTGAAAATGATACTTGTATGTGCTTCTGAGTTCTGGAAATGGTCGCCATGCAATGGGCCTGTTCCAGCGCCTCCAGAAACCTCCAGAAAGCTCCAGAAAGCTCTAGATTCCTCCAGAGAGCGTTCCAGCGCCTCCAGAAAGCTCCAGAAAGCTCTCGCCAAAGCTCCAGAAACCTCCAGTAGCCTCCAGAGAGTTGAGAGGTCCAAATTTCTCTGGAGGCTTTGGTCTACAATTATGGTGCACATGTGACAATCACGAATGTAAACAAAGGACATTTGACTGATTATTTTACAACTTGAATGTAAAGAAAATTACATTGCTATAATTTTATTTATCTTTTTAACTAAAATTGAAAACAAATTTTGCGTTTCAAGATAGAACAATCGTCATTCTTTTGGTATCTATGACGCCAATCTCCATAAATCTCCAGATTGCGTTCCAGCGCCTCCAGTAAAACCTCTGGTAGAGCCTCCAGTCAAGAATTTCTTCTGGAGGCGCTGGAACAGGCCCAATGATTAGGTACTCTGCTCGTTTTGGATGCAATGCATGGAAATTGAGAACATTCTGTTAGGAAACTGAGCTTCACTCTTGTTTCATTTTGCCATTTTATTTAATCTGAAATGCTTATTTTTATGCTCCATTCTTGGGTCATTTTCATAGATCTCAGATCTGGCAATATCAAAATCAAATAGGCCCGTAATTGAATGTGCGAGTTGCATTAGATCCGGTTTGAAGAAGCAGGGTTTATAGAGCCTTGGTATTAGGTACCTATCTACATACTCATTACAAAGTTAATTCCTCAGTTATATTTATGTCTAAACACACAGACAAATGAATAATTGTTCTGTTAATACATAAATAAGGCTGCACTGAGGAATTTACCTAATACCTACCTCATGTTTTACTGGACTCTGCTGTCATGCTGCTATCACATTTTGCGAGCTGACATCACAGATTGTGGTAATGTTGGAGATACAAGTTTATTGATGTATCTAGGGAAACCTAATTTGACATGTGTGCTAGCAGCGTGCTGGCAATGGCTTTGAAACAGTATGCTGCTTTGTACTACTACCTACTTGTCAGTATGAATCAAAACTACATACTTAATTATTTTTTGGTTTTTAATGTGTTTGTGTAAATTGCTATTTTTCCTTATTTTTAGTGGCAATGATGTACAACCTCTCCTGTTCTCTTAACCACTCATGCTTATTGCTTCTTGTTCACTCACCTCATAGGATTTTTATGTTTTTTTTTTTTTACTGGTGAGTAGGTGGGTGCTTGCTGGACATTAGGATAAATCTAAAACCTGATCATAGCTCAGGTATTAAAAGATTAAGTTATATGTGGGAGTTATCTTTACTAATTACTGTGATTACTCATTACTGTGAGCTGCTGAGCACATGCTTCATTATATACCTAATGTGTAATAGTGTATGTATCTGAAATTTTCAGTGCTGAATGCTGATATACCACCATGGATTCTCAAGAAGCTGGAAAGATGCAAACCATAGAGATTGATAAGCTGAACATTCAGCAGCTAAGCCAAATGAAACAGCAACTTGACCAGGAAGTTGGTCTCTTCAATGACTCCTTGCAGCAACTAAAGGTATAACATTTCCATAGTGATGAATGAGCCATGCAGTCTGTGCTTGGCACTTCAAGGAAAGCTATTTCAAAGCATTTTCTGTGTTACATTCTGTGAAGATATGCTCTTTAATGGTACCTATGTACTTCCATGGTATGACTTGCTGAGGGACTCAGTTACTTTGGTTCACTCATCTTTCTGAATTGATCAAATGTCTTACCTGGCTTGATGAACAGATACCTATTGATTGCACTAAAGCAAATTCGCCCAGTTTAATTTAAAATCGATGTCACATACAAGTCCATCATTTTTGGTTGATTAACCATTTATTGGAATTTTGCTTTGTATGCACAATAAGGAAAGGTTGTAGAAGAGGCAGTCAAGCTAACTGATTCCACATCTATATTAACTGTTAATGAAGCTGTTTCAAAATGCCATGAACGATAGGCACAATGTTGAAAACTTCAGGTTAAATTTCTAGGGATCTTCTGCAGTAGGGTGTGTCACTAATCGCAATGCAAGGTGCTCCATCGATTTTATTGTGCTCCACTCATGTGGAAAGGGTGTGGCGTTGTTTTTTTCCCCCCAAATTTTAACCCCCAGGCGGCGCCGAGCGAGAGAAGTTTACCCTATCTCACAACATAGGCGACCCTAGCGCCTCTGGCGGCTGTTTGCGAAACTAACAGGCCGCTCTCTCTATACTGGCTTATCTCTGCTCTCTGTAAACGCGTCCAGGGACACAGGATACTAGGATAGTATGGGAAGATTGCAGAGGGTGCAAGCTGATGACAAATACCCATGATATAATGTATTTTCAATCATAACAGTTAATACGATATATATTTTATGCACGATTAAGAACAACACACGAACGATTATCCGAAGGCAGACAAATGGATTTCTAAGCTCGAATGCTGACACCGAATGCGTGTGAACTGTGAAGCTGTGTGCGCATGGACTGGCCTGGCATTACGCATGGAAGGATTTCTTGCTGAAGACAGCGGGCAGCTGCTGCCGGTGGCGGAGTCGACTGCAGATCCAGCCGTGTCGCTGCTTCTCGCCGACCACTGCGCCGGCCGCCTCAGTCACCACCTTTACGGCGCGCTCCACCGCCACTGTGTGCACGGGGAAGGCACCTATCTCCAGCGGCGTTGCACAGATATCTCGGATCTCCGCATCACTGAGGGTCATCGTGAGTGGAGGCTCGGTGATGTCCTCCGCACTCCAGTCCAGCAGCTCCGTGAAGTTGGAGGCGGAGAAGTTGACTTTCGGCAGCACATAGGGCCGGACCTGCTCTCGCGGCTTCTGGCGGCACTCCATTATCACTTGCACGGCTCGTTCGCGCACGTGCGGGTCCTGATCGGCTGTCATGCCCAGCAGAACCGCCTCAGGATGACACCAGAACGCATTGCGCTGGATCACGGGATGGATGAAGCTCTGTAGCTGTAGTGGCAGCTGCCGTAAGAGCTCCAGGCTTCGCATCACATTCTTGGCCCCACTGCTGCAAGTGCTGTGGCTGCGGATATGAAACCACATCGGAACATAATGTCCGACCAGGTACTGCACGATCAGGTGGAGCTGGTCGGTTGGCGAGTCCGAGCCGATGTACACACGCAGCAACCTCGTTGCCAACGTCAGCCACCTGCGAAACGTGATTCTAAATAAGTTCATGATGGTATGATGACAGATCAAGACAGAACACGTGATGTAATGGTCTACATGATAAACGGTAACATGATAGGACATTTTGACAGGCAGCAGAGACGGAGCATCAGGAAGATTCATGGATTCACAGTGATAACCGTTATCTTGCTATTATTGACTTGTAACAAACATCCGTACCTGGCGTGGTTCACAGGTCCGATCTTCCTGCAGGCGACTTTGGGGGCGATGGTACCGGTTTGCACCGCCCTGGCGAGCTGGTACAGCAGTTTCTGATCGTCGCTGAGCTCGACCGTCGCCGCTTCCGGTAGCTCCGTCACCGAGCCGGCTACCGGGCGGAACTTGGCCACCGACAACCTGCGCACGTCACCACTGGCGGCCTTACCGAGTGGTCCAGCGAAGGATTTTGGACCGGTCGTATAGCCGTCCAGCTGTCGGAAGACTTCTCGGAGGTTTAGTTCGTTTGAGTGAATCTGGCATACAAACCAGTGCACCGGTCTCTCTTCGATGAGCTCGAATAGCCGGCAAACACCGCCAGATGTGCCGGTATTGACGGCGGCCCCGTCACAGCCGAGCACGCGGATGTCGCCGTTGTAGGCGGTCGCAATGTTCACCAGCTCATTAACCTGGTCTATCGCTCTGCCAGAAATTGGCGTAAAATGACTAACGTACTCGCTGCCAGGCTCCGCCACCACAGCGACGTGGTCTTCTTTTACTATGCCAGCACCCGGGCCCGCGCTCGTCTCGTCGTGGCGACCGTCGAAGTACAACGCTTTAAGCGCGCCGTCGCTTTGCTGTTCGGCCCTGACCTGCGCTGATTCTTCACGCGTCCGGTTTCGCTCCCGCCAGATCTTCTTTGGATCGACAAGGAGCTCAGACTCTTCGCCCGTCACGCGTCCAATATCCAGCTGAAAGGCATTGATCACGGCGGCAACTGCGCGGTTGGACAAGCTGAATCTGTCGGCGGCCAGAGCCGTGTTTGTGAGCACGTCAGTATTCGCACCCCGCAGCGCTGTTTCACCGCCGTGGACATGCCAATCGTCAGCGCAAGTGCGATTGTCGTCTGCCAAGGAGGTGTCCGAGCCGCTGTCAACATAGCTGTCATCACCCATGGCGTCATGAGCAGCAGAAGGTTCGGCATCGCCTTGGCTGAACTGACCTGATATTCCAGCGGTCGCGATCGGTGGCTTCTGACCCTCGGTCTGCTGCTTTCGCTCCCTCCGGAGCGCCGCGTTCCGCCGTCTGGCGCTCGCTTCTCTGTCGACACCGCCCAAAAACATCTTTCGGGGCCCCCTCTGGTCCCTGAGGAAATCGATCTCCTCCGGCGGCACCCTGCTGCCTCGCGGACAGTCACAACGGCGTAAGTGCTTGCATCGGCAGAGTGCAATGTCAAACAGCTGATCCCAATGCCCTTTCCCCGTCTTCATCCCAAATTCAGCGCTGCCCCGCTTGCTCGTTTTCGTTTTGTTCAAGGCCCGATACCGCTTGTACAGGCGAACTACCTTTCGCTGTGCATTTTTTTGCTGTACATGCGGTATTCCCTCGTTTTCCCACATATTTACAATCTCGGCAGTCACGCGCTTAAATATGCCTTCTGACATTACTTTCGACCCTTCCTGTTCCTGCAAAAGCCGCACAAAGTTGATCACATCCCTGTTGTTGGGTAGTTGGGTGGCTGGCAGGTTGTTGGGCAGCCCGATATGGAAGTGCTTTGATTGGCTTCGCAGGGGCATCTTGCTTGTTTAACTTTGAGGAATCATATTCTGAAAAGAGACATGACAGGATTAGGAATGCGCAGGGATTACAATTGGAATACCAATTGGAATACAGGAATAGCTAAGTGTGACTGGGAATTCATAAAGCATGGCCGTCAAGTCGAGTTCAGAATCAGTTTTGATATAAATAGGTATTACGAAGAGTCAGGTCAATGCTGTGTTTCTTTCTGAATGTAGTAATGACTTATTGGTAAACATTTAGACTTTCAGTAGGTATACCTAGATGCGGAGCGGAGATTTTGTTACGCTTCGGTTCCGTCTCTGGCCACCAAAAAAATGTCACACCTTCTCCAGCTCCCTGCAGTACATCAAAGAACGCGATGATTCCAAATCGTCGTCGCACCAAAAACATCCAAAGGTACTCCTTCGAATCCCAACTTACCCCTTTCCTGTCTCAACACCTCGCTCGTGACTTTGCGCTATGCAACACCAAGCACACTGGTCGCTGCAACCCTCAAGGTAGTTTCCCCAGTCTTCTTTGTCCACATTCACGACACAAGCATGCGTCAAAGACGCGCTACAGTCGCCAGTGAACGACGCTGCCAAAATAACATGTGACACCTAATTGTAGGTAGGTACAATAGATATGTACTCGTAGGTATCCCGTCAGACCAGGACGGGGATCAGGGGTAGTGCTATACATTCACACGGCTTTAAGCACATTTCGTGCCTTAAGATGGATGACATAACATTTTCATCAACACTCTGAGTGCTAGACAAGCCAACAACAAGGCGTCAGTTCTGTAGAATGCATTTAAAGATGATCGTAAGCTCACAAAGCATAGCGAGCATGTTAGTTCAATATATCGCCGCTAGGGGCGCTGAGGTCGCTAATGCTGAGAGATAGGCCAAAGTTTCGGCGCTCGGCGCCGCATGGGTGTTAAGGTTTGGGGGAAATGAAAAATGCCACACGGTTTCTACCTGTCTGGGGCACGATAATATCAGTGGAGCACCATGTTTTGCGAAAAAAATGCTCAAAATGACACACCCTATTCTGCAGTCAGCAGATTTATCATTTAAATAATAAAGATGGTGTAATAAATATAAATTCCTGAAGAGTACTGATACTTTGAAGTGTATTATGGTGCATAGGACGTATTGGCTGTGAGTTTGGCATGCAAATGTATATTGAAACCGAAGTACATTCAGGAGTTCTCTGGATCCCAAGTGCAAGTCTTATCAACTCCTTGTATTGTATGCACAAGTTTTCATACCAACATTACATGTTTTTAGAACAATGTTTGCATTAGAAACTGTTAGCATTAGGTACTCTTTGATAAGGCAGTATGTGCCCCGCCGTAGTAGCCAGCTAACGCGCCGGACCTGCCCAGATGGCGCAGCAGAAGTTTTCCGAGTCGCTGGAGTCGGTACAGCAGCTGACGCCGGACGCGGCCGGGAAGGAGATCCTGGTGCCGCTCACCGCCTCAATGTACGTCCCCGGCCGTCTGGTGGACCCCGAGCACGTGCTCGTCGACGTCGGCACCGGATACTACCTGGAGAAAACCACAGAGGGCGCGCGGGAGTACTTCAAGTGAGTTGCCTGTCCAGCTGGTGTAGCTCTCTGTGACTGGAAGTAATTAAACTACCGAATCGGTGGTAACCGACCCGTATCTATCGCAATATCTCAAACAATGCTTAATCACATTATTTTGTGAAGACACACTCCACATTCTACTGTCAATAAAACCAGATTGTGGAAGTAAAATCGAGCTGAAGAAAAATCATTTCCATTTTTCCAAGCCCTCGTCACTGGTGTACTATGCATAATTTTGTTTGTTTTATTAACTGTACATTTACGTTTTGGGAATTAAATTTGTGACAAACTAATCTGGGAAAGCACCCGACTTCATGCAGATAAATGGTGCCCATAGTGACCGGGAAACACAATGTTTCAGGCGGCGTATCAAGTTTGTCACGGAACAGATGGAGAAGCTGCAGAAGATCGGCGCTGAGAAGCAGCGGGTGCGAGACGCGCTCGATGAGACCCTCCAGGGGAAGGTACAGATGGCCGCACAACAGCAGGCCGCGCAAAAGGCCGCCGCGTGATGTGACCGGGCCGTCGGCTGCCCAATATCGGACTGACGGTGCTCTCCGTGTCGCGCCCAGTGGGACAGAGAGAGGCCTGTGAGGTGCGCGACTGACACGGCGAGGCCGCGCCGGTCGGCTGTGACGGGTGTGAGGCGGCACAGGGGCGCCCACCATCAGCTGCGCCCGACGTCCGCCATCTCGGCCAATCGCTCATTGGCCTGCAATTGTCCTGTTTCCGACCGCTTGTTGCCACCGTAACTATGTTTAACTTAATTTGAAAAATAATACACAATGCTTAACAAACTATAAAACAGTGTGCACGCCTATATGTGGCTGAATTTCACGTTTTCCTGAGGTGTGCAAAAGCTACTCTGATATTAGGATGGTGCATCTAACTATGCCACACCACTCATATCAGCTACCAGCACATTATGATCTACTTCCAGATGTTATTTTATCCCGTCTTGGTATCTCAGCTTAGAAGACACGTTAATTGTCTGACTTCCGACTTATCCGTGATTTTTGTCGGCATATGTCAGGATAATGATCATGGACGTATGGGAACGGTTGGAAAATTACCGTTCCCAAAAGGCACGATACTTTGTGCAATTACGGGAAGGACATGAGGATTAGGAATGTTTCTCATTGATCCTTTTCAGGACTCAGTGGAATCGATTGTTAATTGTTACGGGCGGGATCTAACTGCATGCTACTAGCATCGTAAAATGAGCAAACCAATTGCCAAACACCCGAAGCTGGGGAAGGACCCCATGACCTAAACATTCGCGATAACTGCCTCGTGCCGAAATAGATAATGTCTCAAACGGGATAACACACGCTTCATCCAAGGGACTCCCCGGCTACGCTAACGGAGACACGTTAGCTCACTCAGTGTTTCAGTAATCGCACATACCGGTGCTGTCAGGGGCGGGGCTTGCGGGTAGATAGTAGGGAGGGAGCAATGGCCACACTGTTCGATAAGTGAGCCGCCCGATAGAGCGGGCGGTCCCACCTTCCTCCCCTCCCCACGGTGTGTGAAAGCGCCCACAATCAGTGTCGTGAGTTGGCTCGGGATGGTTGTCAGTGCAGTAGTGGCACGTCGCTTGGCAGACAACAGTTGGTGTGTTCAACGTGGTCAGTCTAATGAGGCTTATCGCCATCATTCAATGAGTCTCACTAGCAAATTAATGGTGATTGCTCAAACAATCGGGCAGGGCGGTAAATATGACAGAGCAAGAGTGAATACTGGCCGTGTCCGGAAAATATGAGGTGAGTGGAGGAGTTTTTTCATCTCTAGGACTTGCACATTATCATTTTTGCTATGTCTTCCCTATGGTTTTGTCGGGTGGCCGGAAATCCTAGCGTGTAATTGTGAACAAAATGCAGTCGTTTATTGATATTGCTAATATTGACTAATTGTAAGCTTCGCAGCATTTGGTGTGTGTGTAGCTGACTCGTGTGTTTGGTCTCAGATGCGCTTCATTCGGCAGTCACCGATACCTACCGTATGTCGTCATCGTCACTCTGCTGTTTCTCCTGGAGCTGACCTGGCTCGTCAGGGTTCATCCTCGTGGCCGACCGGTCGTCTTGCTCGCCTCCGACGCTACTTCTAACGCGAGTCTCCGTCAACTGAACTCGGGGTCAAGACCCACAATACCACCCTCCCACTCAACACCTGGTGCACCAGCGATATTGGTGTCCGGACCTGCACTAACACCATTGGGGAACAAACGACCCCTCTTGGTGCTGCACTGGACGCAGCGGCAGAGTGCCGCCATCGGTGACGGCGTGAATCTCCGTCTCGACGAGAACTCGTTCTCTGGCTGTCCGTGGGCCGGCTGCCGTGGCACGGGTGACCGCCGCCTCCTGGATAGCGCAGACGCGGTGTTGTTCCACGGTCGACTGCTGAAGGTCACGGACCTTCCTCCACTCCGCCGACCGGAGCAAACGTTTGTGTTTGTACTGCGGGAGTCACCGCAGTCAACTCACCTGCCGCTGAAGAAGTTGGATGGTTTCTTCAACATGACGATGACGTACAGTCGGAACGCCGATGTGGTGTTCCCTTACGGACAGACGGCGGTCGGAAAACAGCCGGGCGCGCTACCGTTCTTCCACCGCAGGTAAGCGGAGGCAGGACTCTTAATGTGAACCTACTGTGAGCCAAAATACGTTATGTGCATATTTTTGTGGGCAATGTTGGCTCAGGAGACGTCTGACCTTTAGTGAGATCTTGCCTTGCCGTTTGCAAACTGTTCGTTTGTCTGCCAGGTGCCATCGTTTTTAATTTTAGTGATGAATCATAATTGATGCATCATTACCGTATTGCCGGCAGCACTCCATCGAGGTCCTCCGGTTAACCACCCATTTATTACGCTCTCCAGACTGCGCCCGGTGGCCTGGATGGTCTCCCACTGCCGAACGGTCTCCAAAAGGGAGCAGTACGTCTCCCAGCTACGCCGCCACATCACCGTAGACATCTTCGGTACCTGTGGCAACCAGCCGTGCCCCGGCCCGCGACTCGACTGCTACCGTTACCTGGCCGAGACGCACCTCTTCTACCTGTCCTTCGAGAACACGCTCTGCGACGATTACATCACAGAGAAGTTCTGGTTGGCCCTGGAAGCCGGTATGGTACCGGTGGTACGAGGCCCGTCTTCAGAATCCTACCGCCGAGTGGCACCGCCCAATTCTTTCATTCACGTGGAGGACTTCGCTGGACCTAAGGCGCTGGCGGTTTATCTCCTATCGTTAGCTCAGAACAGGACAGCCTATGAAAAATACCACTCGTGGCGGAGATCGCATTATGTGCGCCGGCCACAGGGATTGTGTGACCTTTGCCAGCAGCTCAGCGTTAGTGGACATACGGAGGCTGTGCGGCTAACCAGTGTGTGGAACGCGACAGAACAGTGCCACGAACCACGTGATCTCGGTTCAGAAGCGTGACGACGTTATGTTCCAAACCACGTGATCTCGATAAAAAACCATGACGATAGACTGCTGCGAACACTGTGATTTCGATCGAGAAACGTGACGATATAATGTCATGAACCACGTGATTTCAACATAGAAACGTGAGAGTGTACTGCCGCGAACCACGTGATATCGCTTAGCCAAACGTGATGTTACCCATAAGCCTGAGCCGGTGAACAATTTCTTCCATTACGGACGAATAGGCATTGGGCGCTTGCATTGGGCGGGTAGATGATGTCATAGTGCATATTTTTTTCACAACAATGCGGTGGGCGTGAAAGCGACGTTCTTCTCAGCTTTTTGTAATTCGCATTTGCTTTTTGTAATTCGCATCACCTACCTAGCGAATTATCTTTCTCGATGCTTTGTGTCTGATGAATATATGTGAACGCGAATTATTTACTTGTCTGGGTCGAGAATAGTTATTTGTAGTGACTTGGTGCGTCAAGAATTGCCGATTCCTAATGAATCGGAATATTTGAAGATAATTTGGTTGTGTCGTTGTCCGTTGACCTGTTTGCACTAAAAAGGGTAGGGCGGGGTATACTCGTAATTAATGGCTCGGGAAGTAATTACCATCACAAGAGCGTTGCGCCACCGGCTTTGCATGCTGACATTCCTCAGCACCCATTGTCGTGACAGTGATGCTCCTCTGCCCAGTCGGCCCGCACTATTTCCCCTCCCCTCCTCCCTCTCTCCGCCTCCCACACCTTTGTCCGCAGACCGGCCGGTCCGTCGGCCCGTCGCAGAGGCGGGCTCAGGACCACACACCTGGGGGAGCAGGCCAACCCCAGTCCGACGGAGCTCTACCTTACATGCTACCTCGACTGAGGATGGGGTTTCATCCATCACCACCTGTCTCGACACCCCTCTTCGGTCGGCACCCCTGCTGGCGTCGCCTCTGCGCGCGGCAAGAAGAGGGCGGAGGGTTGCGCCGTCTGCCGGCCCCAGGCACCCATCACCGTGCGGAGTGGCCGGTGTCTCGGCTGCGGCGGGAGGCACGTGGGGTCAACAGTAGACAGACGACGACTGCGGGCCGGTACTGCGATCCAGAGGAGGATGTCACTCTAAACAAGCCGTCAGTGTACTGCAGGGCAGGTATGTTTTGAAATGACGGGGGGGGGGGGGAGGTGTGAGGGTCGGAAGTAGCACCGTCTTTCATGAACAGGTGGGGAGGGGGACGGGGTGGCAGCGTGCTTACTAACACAGGTCAGGCCTGTCTGTGTCTTCGGACGGCAGGCGGGATAGGGGCATGTTGGGTTGGGCTCGTTGGGTGGAGGGAATGCGGTACGAACGGTCCACCCGAGAGGTCAGGTTTGTAAGATTACGATGTGAGTGGAGGGGAGGGGTGAACAGGGTGCGTTTAGGGTGGGTTCGTGCGTCTCGTGGAAACGGGCTGACAATGCCGTCTAAGATCGGTTGCCAGTACCGCCCGTCCCTCCTTCGATAATGAGTAGTTAATGACGTTATAATGAATAGTCTTTTATCGAACGCAATAACAAAGCCAGAGCCTGCGATCAGCGCGATTTGACGGGCGGGTTACCGTACGATCTGCAATTTCCTGGCTGTCAAATGGCGAAGTTTATCGCGAGACCTTGCTTATGAAGTCCATTGGCGTATTTCATGCTTCAGACCAGATTCATAAAATGACGATAATGAAATACACTCATTACAGGTATTATGACTTACGAAGAGATTTAGAGCACCGAATACCTGCGGTCGAACACTTTTTGGTCAAACCCGACGAAGGATGCGTAGGATCCTTAAAGTATGACATACTCTTTGCAGTGCTGGTATATCCCGAACACTTTTTGGCCAGGAGGAAGGGAGGCGATTTAGCGTCGGGCTATTCCAAGGTTCGCCTAGGATAAAAAATCGCCATCGGCGACCTCAGGCACACCCAAGATTCTTTTAGATAATAGATAGGCACACCCACAGTGCCTTCGGAGACGGGGCCCGACGTTGATGGCCAAGCAGCCTCGAGACAAATTCCAAACTATATGATTCTGTGCGAATTGCAAACGACATTCTCGGAGCATGAGATATTTGCTAAGATAAGCCGTTATCCTCGTTCCCCATTGTTCGGTGTTCGGTTACCCAATGGATGATCATTGGAAGCTGATGAGCTCACACCGATCCCGACTGACAGTGTCCTCTACACGTTTCAGCTCCACCCAGTTCCAGTCTGCGCCGCGAGGTGGCAGCCAGGTCGCGGCCGGTCGGGCCGCTGGCGGAGGCACGGGCGCCGCCGCCAGGGTCACGATCCGACCGTGGCGCTGCGCCTGGCCACCGCGCCGGTGACAGGACCGGTCGTGACGTGGCCGCTGCCATGCGAGTCGAAAATAGCGTCGAACTGGCGTCGCTGGCGGCTGGCGCCGGCCGGCCGAGCGGCCGACGGAAGCCCGCCGCTGGCCCGGCGCCCACTCTCTGTTTACACTTCGCGCCGCCCGAAATAAATTTCAGCCAAGGAGAGGTGGCGAACGCGGCGGCCGCGCCGGCAGACGCGGCGCGCAACGACGGTGGCGAGTGGTGGCGTGGTACCGTTCAGCGCGCTCCGCACCTGCCGGCGCCGGCGCGCGCCGTCCCGTGTCGCCGCCCGTGGCCGCAGCTCGCCGGTGCCGAGCGACCAGCCGAGCCCGGCTGCCGAGACCGCCATGCGGTGACGATGCCGAGACCTCCTGCCGCGCCGGGGGCGCCGGCGGAGGGCGCGGCGGCGCTGCTGCGCAGACGGGAGGCCTTCAGCAAGGGACACAGCGTGTCGCTCGACTCTGCCGACGGCCTGGTGACGGCGGCGGGCGCGGACGCGGCGCCGCCGGCCGGCCGCGCCGCCGCGCACGAGAGCGGCTCGCTGTCGGACACCGAGGAGTCGGCGCCCGACAGTTCCGTGTTCTCTCGTCTCCGGCTGCGCGTCCGCCAGAGCCCGCCACCGCCGCCACCAGCCGCTCACTCCAAGAAAGCTCCCGAGCGGCCCCAGTCGCCCAAGGCCAAGGCACGACGAGTGGACCGACTTCGTGAGTTTACTGAGCGACTAAGGCACACTGATCTCAAGTGGGGACGGGACGAGCGAGCCACCTCGATGAGTCCTCCGGAGCGGCCGCCTCTGCCGGCGGCGGTGGCTCCCACCCCGGTCTCGGCAGACAAGCCGCCCAGCCAGCCTCCGCGCCGCCACCGCCGGAAGGCTCGGCCGCCGCGGCCGCCGCCAATCGGGGAGAACGCGCCCGTGACCGGACTGGCGCCGGCCAAGACGTCACTGTTTAAGACCAACAGCGCCCCGCCGAGTCCCGATAGTGCCCCGTCGCGAGACCAGTTGAGTGTTCAGCCCGCAGTGTCTCCGTCGAGCGCGCTCAGTGCAGCGAATGTGACTACGAGCGCGGCTCGGGCCGCAGCGAATGTGCCACCGAACGCGACAGTGCGCGCGAGCAGTGTGGGCCCGCCCAGCGTGAGCGATCGCGCCGCGAGTGCCGCTCTATCAGCGGGTAGGTCGGACGGTGCCCCTGCCGCCACCCCGCTGTCCGCTGGTGCCAAAGAGACGTCCAAAGAGGCGCCCGTTCGGCCGTCGTTTGGGTACTACACCCAGCCGCGTACTATCCCCTTCAGAAGCGCCTCCTTTTCACGGTCATCTCACAGTGGTATAAACAGGACTGCGCGTCCCGGTAGCGCATCAGCGCTGACCATCCAGCCGGTCTACTTCAGCATCAACAAGCCGGCGGGGACGCCGCACACCACCTCACAAACCCTGCCTAAGAAGTTCAAAGCTCAAAACGCTCCGGTGCCCGAGGAAGACGCCTCCCTTGCGCCAATTAAACCGACACATGTGCGTCACAAATCGGACCCGGTGAAAGACTGGGAGCCTCCGTCGACGGAGCAGCAGTCTGAGCCGCCGGTACAGGCCTCCAACCCCCGCGACAGCCTACTGCTGGACGCCCTGCTGAAAGAGATCAACTCGGACACGTGCTTGCTTGACCGGGATGACAAACAGACCGCGGCAGCGGCTGCGGATGAAACGCCAGTGAGCACCAAGTCTGGTGAGGACGGCACGTCTAGTGCCCCAGCTGCGCACGCCGGCTCCGACTCGACGCAGCTGCCGCAGCCAGCCGAGGCCATCGCTCAAAGCTCCGCTAACGAAACTGACACACCGGCCGAGAACACTGCTGGGAAGTCTGCCAAGCAGACAGCAGAGTGCTCGACGCCGCCGGCCGACGGCAAACAACCACTCTCGAACGAGACAAAGGCGACTGACGACGCGCCACAACCCGTCTCGCCTCCAGCCGCGTGTGACGAGCCACCCGCCGCTGCGGCCGCCGCAGTAAGTGGCAACGCGGCGCCGCCAAACGACCTTAGCCAATGCAAACAGGCCGAACCGACTGAAAATAGTGGCGTCGATCAAGAAGATAATGTCGCCCGCAGCGGAGCGAACGCTAGCAGTGACAGCGGCAGCGCGAACATTACGGCACAACCAGACGTGGGTGGTGATGCACTTGCCTCTTCTGATGGGCCAGCGCCGCCGCAGAAAGAAGAACAGGAAGCTGTTAGTAATGCAGCGACACCAGCCACTCATGATTCAGAGACTCAGGCGGAAAGTAGCGGGACCAAGTCCTCGGCAGATGACGATGTGCCCCTGCGGCTACGACAGGCTCATGAGGACGTCCTCAACATCAACTTGGACCAGTTGGATGAGGATGGTGCTGAAGCCATCAGCCAGGTGCAGGAGAACTTCCGACAGGCCGTGAAGATGGCCGTTGAGACTCTGCTGAGTGAGGTCAGCGCTGGTGACGAGCAGACTGAACTGACCTCACTGCCTTCCGGCGCTGATCATGAGCGTGAAGTAGCTCATGTGCGAGTTGAGGGAAAGGAGGTCGTAGACGAGTGGACCGGAGCGGAGGACCTGACCACCACGGTCACCTCTGTGCGGAAGGAGCAGCGTCAGGCTGACCAGACGCTGCCTCCGCTGCTGGAACTGGAAGGAAAAGCCGCCGGGATCAGCCAGCACGGTGACACTACTGAGCGTCGCCAGGTGCGGCCACGACGCTTCAAGTCCAAGAGTCTTTCTCCTGTGCCGTTCCGAGTTGCCGAGGAACAGTTACCGCAGCTGGTAGAGGAAGCCGCTGAGCCTGAGACTCTACAGCGACCGGCAGCGTCCCGAGCCAAGTCGCGGAGTCTTGAGCACAAACAGCGCAGCTTTGATTTGCTGGACCGGCCGCCGCGGGAGCGTAAGCGCAACCAGAAGCGGAAGGAGAAGGTGGGATTCATGCTGACTACGGATCAGGATAGTCTAAGCTCATCTTCATCCGACGAAGCTCATTCCCGGGGCCGGAGTCAGACCTTGGATCCAGACTTCGCTCGGCCCAAGGCAGAGAAGATGCGACTGAAAAGTCACAGTGCTCGCGGCCGCACCACCAGTGATACAGCCACTCTGCGACCCCTTCTGACGCATCAGTCTCACATGGGAGAGCTTCTCACCCTCGACGAGCCACTGCGATTCGGGAAGGGTCGCCGACACGCCTCGCCCTCGTTCCTCTCCTACGACAGTGACGTGGATAGGTTTCCGCGCAGCCCGCACGGACCTCGTCGCCGCCTCCGCGGTCCCTACGGCGAAATGCTGGAGGGAAAGATGAGTCGAGGTGATACGAACCGTATGGCTCGAGATGACGACTCTCTCAAATTCCTCTCGGCCTTGGTCGAGTCTGCCTCTCCTTCCCCCACGCCTGCCAATTCCTCTCCTCGCGTATCTCGCCAGGAGAGGAGCTCGGGTCCTCCCCGAACTCCCTCGGACGGTGAGCTGGTGCAGCTCGAGCCGAGTCACGTGCGCACCGTCTCGTCACCGTCTGAGCTGGCGCACTTCTCGGAGCTGCTGTCGGAGGGGTATTACGACGGTGTCAGTCCGGCCGCTGAGGGCCTCATCTCTCAGCTGACCGCCCAGGAGGTCGGGCAGCTGCGAGCCCAGCCCAGGAAACGGGTGAGTAACGGTCATGGGACGATTTGGGATGGTTATTGTGATGTTATGATTTTGAGATTGGGAGACGTGTTGTCATGTTTAAGACAGACTGGCAGAGTGAGGAAGTGTTGCCCTTGTCGAACTTCATGACGTGACTGCCTGTTGGTTATGTCAATGAAAATGCAGTATACTATTGTGTACACTAACCCTAATTTCACAATGCGAAATATGTAACCAAACATGTCAAAGAAAGTTGTGATACATATCTAAATCGATAACTTACGTATGTATGTAAGCTTACGGGCGGGCGGGCAACGCTGGGTTGCTGGCATTGGTAGCTATCGGTTGCTGCCCGTCCTGTAGCTCCAGCTATGGTAGGACATCGGACTGCCGGTGGCGAGAACACGAGTTCGAGTTACTCAGGCTTTCGATTAGAGATTGTTGTTTGGATTTGTTTGTGGTGGGTACGGAAGCTCAGCAGCAGCCAGTTGAGGTCAGTGCGTTGATCTGACTGGTTAGGCATTTAAGTGTTTGGCTGTGTTGTCAGCAGAGCCGTTGAATGTGCGGTGATTGGCCGTGCTATGTCCCCAGGGCCGGCGGTTGTTCGTGATAGGGGAGCTGCTGGACACGGAGCGGTCCTACGTCGAGTCTCTCCGGCTGCTGATGAGTGTCAGTATCAAATGCAATAGCAATTTATCGCAACTTTCGAATAGCAAATGTTACGCTCTCGTGCGAGTAGGTATTCATACTAAATATAGATTTTGCTTCTGTTGAAAGTCCTTTAGATAGGAACATCTCATTTATTTGCACCAAACTTCGTTTTTCAGTGTTTCACAAGACTGTTAAATCAGCCATTTATTAAGACGAATTATTGCTAGCGTACCGCATTCGTACTGTTTTTCTTGACAAGCTAGTTACAAGTATGAAGTTTCGGTGCTCATTCTGAGTTGTGGTGTCCATATGACGTACTAAATACGCTGTTCCTGCCGCGCCAGGCTATCATGCATTATTATGCCGCAGTATTCGCGCAAACTCCGGGAGCCTGAACCAGGAGCCCTCATCGAGCCCAACACACTGCTGGACATATTCCACATGGTAAGATATGTAGGAAGCCGTTTTTATCTCAGTATTTATTTACTGCTGTCGGTGGTGGATGGCTGCAATTGTCTTATTATGCTCGACCGTTCTTTTTCTTTTACGTGTCATGACTTATCGTTTTATGTTTTAATGTTTCGTAACTCAAATGTGAGTTAAGCTGAGAAGTGTACGCGCAATGACCAATAATTTTCTTCACCTTTTTTAAGTGTCCGCTTTAACGTACTTTTGCACTCATAAAATGTGCATCATGGGTTCAGCTGTAGAACAGATGTGTCGGAAAACTTATCGGCTCTCGCTGAATATGCCCATACCCTTTTCATTGATCGATATATGTGCTCACTTTGTCAGATTCCCGAAATTCTGGAGATCCACGAGGACTTTCTTCGCGAGTTGCTGCTGCGAGCGGACAACTGGAGCAGCCAGCAGGGGATCGGAGAGGTCTTCCTCGACAAAGTGAGTAACTTCAATTGTAACTGTAAGTGACGTGTAACCACAACTGGAGCAGTCAGTAGGGGATCGGAGAGGTCTTCCTCGACAAAGTGAGTAACGTCAGCTGTAACTGTGAGGGCGTGTAACGACAACTGAAGCAGTCGGCAGGGAATAGGCGAGGTGTTTCTCGACAAAGTAAGTTGTGAACGCTCGCCCTCGTGTAGGTGTTTCCAAGTACACGAGAAATGCTAATGCATCGAATGAGTAGATTGTATAATGCTGTTAGGCAAAAGTACGCTATGCATCACGTGTATGACATGTATTCATTGCCTGTGTGGCATATGTTAGGATCGAGGCACTGATAGTTAGTGCAAAGCACTACTCAACAAATAAGCGAACATTCGTTTTTATTTCTTGTCCTGTAGTGGCTACAGTTCCCCGCTATGTGATGTCAAATGTCGACATTTCATCTAACCCACCCGTACAACGTTATGTTCCAGCTGACCCAGCCGTGCGTGCTGGACACATACACGGCGTTTGTCAACAACTGGCCCACGGCCAGGGAGGCGCTCAGAAGGGCGTGTCAGCTCAAACCGGGACTGGCCAAATATTTGGAGGTAGGCGCACACGTGGACAATAACGCTGGCTCAACTGCTGCTCAGCGTAAAATGCGTTGTATGTATCGTGGATGTTATGCTACCGACTACGAATATTTAGCGTAACTAGGGAAAACGTGATGTAATCTGGGCTATGTCAATGCCATGTAATGTGTGATACTATTTATGAATAAACGACTTCATTTTTGTTATGATGTAACGTCATCGAATTATACCTAACTTGCCTCCCTCATGGGAAACAGCAGGGTGTTGTACGTTGTGACCTACCACTTTCGATGCATATTTAAACGAAGCTCAATTTATCTTGTACTCGTGTTTCATACCGGGTTTCTTTACGTAAGACTGGGCTTTGCCTTGCTCACAGAGTTTGGAGAGGTCCAATAAGCGGAAGCTCAGTTTCACCCACCTGCTCATCATGCCAGTGCAGAGGATACCGCGCTACGAACTGCTACTGAAGGTAAGCTACTCAGCGGATACCCCGCTACGAGCTGCTACTAACGGCGAGAAGGCGCGTAAGCGATGTAATGTGACACTGGATGTCGTTAACCGTTTGATCGGTCTTCTTAAAGAACTTTGGTTTGACGTGAAGCAGAAACGATTATTTTCCCTGAATTATTGTTCAGACTTGTAGGAGCAGAGATTCTTTGACATAGTCTCTGGCCGCTCCTGTGTCCAAACAGTAAACCATCCTAGATGAGCCATTAGATTAGGATGTATGAGACTACCGGACGTTTATTAGAGTCGGTAGAACAGAGTATCAGACGATTTTCGGCGAGGCATTTGCAGCTCCTAGGGATCGACAGCCAGCCTTTGGCAAGCCGACCCGCCAGGCGCGCCGGCTATTTAGAGCACTCCCCTTCTCCAAAACGCCGGCCGGGCGGCCGGCCCGCCCAGCATGTGCCCGGCTACGAAGTATTAGCGAAATGCGACCGTTGCAATCTGGCTGGCCGAACACCATGCGAGCCAACAAAAGTATCACGCAGAGCAGCATTGTGCCGCAGACTATCGGTAGAGGACTTGAGTGTGTTTGGCCTGCTCAAATGACTGGAACTGAATGGACTTCAAATAATGCCGGTGATGTCCATAGTGTGGCTCGCTTGTGAAATTTCCGCTTTTTTCAAATATTATTTTTAGACGTGCTCTTTTATTGAAATAACGTCGCTTGCTTATACATTCTGCGTTGATTTTACAGTCACTCCGGCTATTGCCTGGGGCGATCGGTATTTTTCGAATCGTTAACCCGTCTCTCTGCCCTCTTCCTTTTCCAGCAACTGGTGGCGCACACGCCTGCCGACCACCCGGACCTGGAGCCGCTGCGGTCGGCGCTCGCCGAGGTCCATCTGCTGGCCACGCGCATCAACAGCCTCGAGCAGGAGACCATGCAGAACGAGGCGCTGCTACAGATGCTGCGGGAGGTGGAGGCGGCCGTGGACGGCCTGGACGGCTTGGTCACTCCGGACAGGTGAGAATGAATGGGAGGAGGTGTTAGGGATGGTGAGAGGGGTAAATGGCATACAACAAACAAAAGCGGGTTGAACCGACACCATTCGAAAACTAGCAACCCATTGTCAGACAGCTTGAATATTCCGGCTGTAACAATAAACATGCATTTTATCACGGAACCTTGGTGTACTTGTTACCGAAACACGTTCTACATTTATCTTCACTGTTTTTTTTCTACATCTTTCTTCCCTGTCATGCACACTTTGGTTGTTGTTTTCTGCTTTCGTACTCAATCCTTGGCATTGATTGTTTCCAGGGTGCTCGTTCGGCATGACCAGGTCACCATGACGAGCGCGCTGGGTACCAAGAAGGACCGCTGTCTGTTCCTCTTCAACGACCTGCTGGTGATCGCAAGTTCCAAACGGCGCACTGGCACGGCGCGAAAACCCTCCACGTGAGTTCATACCTGGAAGAAGACAGACCTGTAATGCAAGCAATGTCACTTGTTTTCAACGGTCTCTGCAATGAATTTGAAATATCCATTGTAAGCGGTGCGTGTCTGTCAATTGATTTCTAACTCTCCTATGTGTTTTGACACCAGGGCGCTGGATGGCTCTGTTACTGGTCTGGAGGCCAACAAGTACAAATTGCTCATGAAAATACCGCTGGCCGACCTCAACATTGCCCGATGTGAGTGACGGTTACAATGGGTTGTGGTTTCACCGACATTTGTGCCGAGAGAAAAGTATCTTCGTTGTGTGCATTTCTGGGATCAATTCAGCTCTCAAACTTCGTTCAACGTAAGTGCGATTTTACACGATACAGTTTTCTATTTGTGCGTAATTTCCTGAGCCACTCTGGTAAGTTTGTCATACAATTATAAGCGAGTGTGGAGATACTCACATTTTCCTGATATTCAAGTCCGTTTGGTCCTTCGAAGCATAGAAATAAGAACATTTCTATGCTTCGAGATACCATTGATGCCGCTCTTTACCATGAAAGATGTCTCTTAACATTTTGTAAACGAGTAATCCGTCTCCACGACAGCTGCGTCCCGATTGGTCGGTTATCTGTTACGATCATAATCAATTCCATGTTCTCTATTGCAGCAAAGGACGAGAACCTCAGCTCACTTCTGAAAGAGGTGGAGAAAATTGAGGAGGATATCACTACACTGAGACAGATCGGCATCATGGTCTGCAAACTGCACTGCAACCACTACCAGGTGAGTCTACTGCAACGCACCGCTGACTCCTTGAACAAGTCGGTCGGCGCTATCATTCAATTGTCAAAGTCGTTGATATAACATGTCATGCTATATCAACGACTTTGGCCGTGCTTTTTTAGTATGTAGGTGGCAATGCGCTTGCCCAGATGCATGAACAGCAAGCACGTTGCTTGCAGGGTGCAGGGTCATGCAGGGCCGTTGGTTGATTGATGGGTACAAATAGCGCTCGTGCTTGCGCAGTATAGTGCTCGATTGTTCATTTATTTATAGCACTTTATCAAGTTCAAATATGTTTATTTAGCTTCTTTTGTTTCATCTCACGACACTTACTACCTTCCACGTCACCCCATCTCCCCACCACCACCGTTGGCACGCCTCTGACCGATACTCCCGCCCCGTCAGGTGGAGGAGCTGGTCAAGGAGATGGCAAACGTGCTGAACAAGCAGCTGGCCGAGCGGCACCGGGCCGACAGTCAGCTGGTGATGACGCAGCTCAATGTCACCACGCCGTGAGTAAACAATCTGGAATTACGTGAGAAAGTTACTCTTTACGGATAAGATATGCCAAATGTGTATATCACGCAAATTATTTCAGCAGGTACGGATAAGTAAGAAGCAAAGTGTTTCAGCGCTGAGGTCACATCTGAAGTTTTATTAACTCTCTGAAGTTTTAAATTGACCTTGTTTCTTTTTTCAGTGACGGCATTGAAAACATATCGATGAACTTCCCGGAAATTGAGAAACGTACAGCGTGGGAACAAACCTTCAATGAAACGAAACAGAAACTAGGTATGTAAGTGCAAATGAGAGCATGCAGTCGGTTCCTTTTTATCTTCTCGCACATTTACAGAATATTCATATATAGCTATCGTATAGAGGCTTTCATATTTCTTTATGAAAATACCATTTTGACCATAGTCACCTCTCCCCCCCAAAAAAAACGGAGCGTGCTGGCGAATGGCGACACATTTCGTTTTTCGTCATCTTGAGACGAATGTTAGGTCAGATACCGAAGTTTTGCTTTCCTATCGTACTCATGTCGTAAGCTGTCATCTGTCTCGCACCACTTTGCTTTCGGCAAAATGGTGACCGAAACTGCTGTTTTCTATTTACCTCACCGCTCCGCGTACCGTCTCCGTTTCAGCTCTGTCGGCCGAGCGGCGTCCGGTACCCGAGTTCCTGTACCCGCTGCCCATCCGGAAAACACGCGCCGGCCTGCAGTTTACCTGCGCCGCGGCCACCCCGAGTCTCAGCTCGCGGCAGTGCAGTGACGTCTGGGTCTGCAATAGGTGGGTAACGCTACGGCGTCTCCGAAACTGGGGCTGCTGTCCTAGGTGTTGTACGGGGCGGGGCGCAGTCCGAGTGGATGTTCTAGGACGGTTGTGTACATACTAGAAAACGGCGCATTTGCAGCCTACACGGTACAGACAGACATGCCTTTTCTAATTTGCAAAGACGCAGGTCGTGGTATAGTAACCCCCTATGGGTAGAGTTATTGCATGGTACTCGTATAACAAATCTTTCTTGTAGAAGTAGTGACAACTGACAGACCTATGCGTATGCAGCAGTCTTGCCCTAGTGTGAGACGTGAGTCGGTAGCCGCTCTACAGAAGTTCCTGCTCTCCCCGATAGTTGTCGCTAGTCGTCAGCACCTGAAGTTAGACTGTGCCGCCGTACTCAGTACGAGCACTGACTCCAACCCGGGCAGGATTTTCGTGTGTTCGACACTGACTCGCTGTGACCCTATAGTGCGACAATGTAGTATCTGCATTCCACAGTGACAGGCCGTGAGTATCCAGGGTGACACCCTGATTTATGTTCCAGTGACGGTTACGTGGGTCAGATCTGCGTGCTGAGTCTCCGACCGGAGCCGACAGTTACCTCCTGTAACGGAGTTTGTAACTCACGCATCCTGTGCATCGCTCCGGTTCCCGGTTTGACGCTCAGGTGAGGTGCACTTATAATCAGGGTTATCGAGACCGTGAGATACCAGCGAATGTATCGGCTAACGTTCGCATAGCTCATTTTTCGAATACTTTAGGTTTTCGCTGTGAAGGGAACCAGGTATCAACCCAAATCGCTTACAGGAGAGATGCGACCCCATTTCCGCCTGTTTGCTCCAAAGACAGCGCATGGCCGCTAAGGGCCCACGAGGACTGATAAAACGAGTTTTCACACTTGCGAGCTACATGTATGTTGGGCTTGTATGTTGGGCCAACCAGAGATGCCTTTGTCCCTTGTGTCTAACGCGGCTATTCAATACAGAGGCCTCAGCCTAGCTCGCTGACCAGGCTCGTTGGACCTGCTGACAGGATAAACGGCTCGCCCGAGCCGACGCGCTGTGCTTCCACCCCTCCCACGGGTAGTGAGCCTCCGGCGGCCGCGCAGAGCGGGGACGAAAAGTCCGGCACCATCGACCTCGACAGGTGGGTGTGCTGTGCCCCTTAGAGTGTCAACAGACGCGGCAGATTGTCTAGACACTTACTGTTTCCGTTTCTCTAATCAGACATTGTTGCTGAACTTTGGAGGTGTGGGTTTACAATATTTACCTCTTAAATTTGATTTTATCTTGATAAACTCATTTCATAAAAGCATTCGACAAGACAATTTCTTATACCATAAACGATATGTTTGTAATATTATATGGTGTAGTCAATCCAGATCTAGGAATGGTGGATGATCATCATTCCCGTCTGCCGTCTTTCAGCTCGTCGGACTCCTCGGACTCTGACGAGTCCCGCGCGGACGACTGGCGGGACGACTCCTCAGCTACCGGCGGGGGCGGGGGCGGCGCAGCCGGCCAGGCCGACCAGCCGACCATGTGGCTGGGCACGGAGGACGGCTGTATCTATGTCTACAACTGTGCCGACTACGTGCGCATCAAGAAGACCAAGGTGAAGGTGCAGCTGGGTTCTGCGGCGCACGCCATCGTCTACCTGGAGGGCCGCGTGTTCGTGGCGCTGGCTAATGGGACAGTGTCGGCCTACAGCAGGGTGGAAGGTTAGTAGAGGGGGAGAATGGGTTACTAAATCTGCGGAGAAGCTATGTACTGTGGTCCATCAGCAGGACAGATCAGTGACAAGTGATGGAGAACTCGTTATTAACGTGATGGTGAACAGTTGCTATTCTAAAGAGTTATGACGTGGAGAAAACAAAATAAAATATCACAATGCCTCATAGCACAGCAATATGAAAATTACATCGACGCTGAATTGTTGCCTATTCTTGACTGGTTTCGGTTAAAGTACCTACTGTGATTGAATAATTTATTAGTTTTAGAACGATATTCTGACGGACGACTAATGTCCACGTTTTACACCCTCCCCTCCCCTCCCCTCCATCCACGAAATTCGTTGTACGACTCTTGACTGCGCCCCATTCAGCATCTGTTTTACTTCGTGTTGTCCGTGCACTCACGTGTGCCATTATCATTCGCCAGGCAGCTCCTGGGACATGCAGAGTCCGGAGGTGATCCAGGTCGCGTCTACCGCTGTGAACAGACTCGCAGTCGTCTCTGGTAAACTGTGGGCCTGCTCTCAGAACAGGATACGGGTCATTAATCCCACCACCAGCGCTATCGAGGTCAGTAGATGGAGCTCGAGAGCTCAGATCGACAACTTTTACGTCCTAATGGCAGAGCTGTTGGACTCGTTGGTATTAGTAGGTCGGCTTCGTCTGTTCATTAGGAAAGATGCCATTGCCGTTCTATCAGCGTGCATACCTTGACGTGTGCTTCTAAGAACCCTTGCCATCTTCCTACCAACAAGCGATAACGTTTGTTCTCAAGCCAACGTTGATATATGGTTATCAAAAAGTAGCGGCTCTTTGCTAGCAAGCTGTATTGTCCGTGGCCAACGACCAATAGCGTTTGTTCGCAAAGGGACGGAGCAGCAACATCTATTCACTAACTACTATCGCCGCCGTCTGTTTTCAGCAAACTGTGACTGTGAGCAGCGACAGCCAGGCCACGGTACAGGCTCTGGTGCCGTCTGGTCTGGGAGTGTGGCTCAGCTTTCACAACCTGGGCACGGTGCGACTGTTCCACACAATCACATTCGAGATGATCTGCGAGGTGGACGTCACGTCGGCTGTCACTCGCATGTTGTCGGGTGAGCGCTGGAAGGGGAGAGCAACGGCGCGTGTAAACGGAGAGATGGGCGTTGGCGCACCCTGCATGGCAGGCAGAGGTGGGTTTAGGTAGGCGCCGGTAGGGAACAGGCTGTGATGTGTGTCAGCTAGGTGCCGCTTAGTGGCAGGGATGTATGTACTAGCTGTAGAGGGCGGATAGCGGCAGACCTGAGAAAGGCGTCATTAGTGGCCAAACTCAGGCTTGCATAGGTGGGACTGATGGTACCGTGTACCTCTTAAAGGTGACGGTAGGTAGCGAGCAACGGCCAACCCCCATCGCTATAACTAATGACCCAAAGACATGACCAGTCGTTCAGGCACTAGATAGTGGTTGACCCAATGTGAAACACGTCCCTGACAGCTGACGCTGCCCCTCCACAGGCTGTGACGACATAATCCGTCAGCACAAGACAGCGTGTCTGCGCGTCACCTCACTGATGGTGTGTAAGGACCTGCTGTGGATCGGCACGTCTGCCGGCGTGATCCTGAACCTGCCGCTGCCGCTGCTGACCACCACCACCAGCTGGCTGACCAACACGCTCAGCATCGCAGGTTAGTGATCAATATACAGACCACTGACCAACACGCTAACCAACACAATAAACACCTCCACCAGCTGGCTGACCGACACGCTCAGCATCGCGGATGAGTGACGAGCGACCTGTGGTTAATACACTGACGAATACACTGACCACTTCTGCCAGCTGGCTGACCAGCACGCTCAGTATCGCGGGTTAGTATGTTCCACATTCTCTTGACCTTATTCTTTGTTACTTCTTTAGCCGTTTTAAAATATTCTAACCGGTTTCGTCTTTCGACTTCATTAGCGCTTCAAAAAAAAAAAAAACGTACGCTGCGCTAATTAAGTTGAAGAAGCCGGTCCGCTACATTATATTATATAGTTAATTGCTTACTCACGACATTTGTACATATAGGTATTGTTCAAACAAATATACTTGTCTGAGATATGTAAATTCTAGACGCAAATACCTTGAAACTTCTCTGACACACGCCGTGTAACGACAGAGGACGTCCCACTGACTTCTGTATCTATTGCAGGTATTTCTCACGGTCACACGGGTCACGTCCGGTTCCTGGCCTCCGTCGAGTCCACCACAGAGGTCATGGCACCCACCCGATACCGACATGCTCGTGGCAGCGCAAAGGTCAAGGACAAAGCACAGGTCAAGGTGAGAGCTACTCGAAAGTCAGTTGGAAAAAGACGGAATATCGGCTGTTTCGTACAAGAATCAAGTGCTACATTCGAAAATCCGGATATCTTTGGTTTATTTGTAATGTATTCCTCGCATTTCCGTTTTTATGAATTTTAGTAGCTTGAACCTTTTTCAGCTTTGTCGTGTTTTTCACCTTTTGCATCCTGCAGACATCGATTTTTATGGAAGCCCTTGATAACCTAATGTGTAAATCGTCTGTCGTGAAAGCCAGTAAGAGAACATCTGACGTTTTGTCTCGTCTTTGGCAGGCCTCGGTGGGTAAGGTTCTGGTGATATCCGGCGGCGACGGTTACGAGGATTTCCGCTCGTCGGGGTCGGAGCTGTCTGGAAGGGACGACTCCACCAACCATCTACTCCTGTGGCGAGTGTGAACGAGGAGTCAACCAGTTGCGTGCTGCTGAGATGGCAGATTTGTGCACTGTGTGGGCGGTAAATCCACCGTGCATGGGCTACCCAGGCGTGTGGAGGAAGGAAGATTCATTACCAAGGGCCTGCTTAACTCCTGAGACGCGTCTGAAGGACAAGTCGGCCATTTACCTGTTGTTGAAGAAGAAGCAGGCTACAACTGCAACAACTGTATTGAATGGCTCTTGCAACACGGCTCGCACAATCTCATTTGAGCCTCCATAATCTACCACGTGTCAAGTATTTAATTGAAGAGCTTATGATGATCTGTCAAGAACAGCGAGGTTTATGATGCTGTATCGTTATTCCTTTGCTGACTCTTTGTGTTAGGCATGAGCTTGGAGTTGTCGGTTCATGTCGAATTGTTGAACAATAACATCAGTAAAGTTGGCACAGAAAGAGGCTTGCTGTTGGTATGGGATAGGCAGCTAGCTATGCGCGGCATGCGAATATTTATTATAGCTCATACATCGTATCTGCCGATCGCTGCTGAAATACTAATTGACTTTGAGGACGGCTGGTTTCTCGCTGTGTAGATTGAAGGTTCCATGTTAATCAGAATCTTCTTTTTATTCTGGAAGTTGACTGAGGTTAGACTGTTGGTGCGGTGGTCTTTGAGTAGGTACTGCCGTGTGCCGCTCGGTAACCTAGGGTCTACTCGTGGCGCCCTCACTCGCCAGTAAACAAGTTTGTGACGCTTCTGGTCTTCTCGAGTTTCAACAATGGCTCGTATGTCTATTTTGTATCTGCACTTATCGTTCATCGAAGCAATATATCGAGAGGCGGCAAAATGGCTCTTTTCGCAACAATATTACCTGTTTCTGTACAAGCTCTGAAAATGATACCCTCAGGCCTCAAGGGGCATATTTATGCACTAAGCTGTATTGCCAACGGACAGTTTATATTCGGAAGATTTATTTGTTTTGTAGGGTTTAGCCCTTTTGGTCTGACGAGATCTAGTGGAAGGATGATAGAGGGGGATAAAATGGTCTTGGTGACTACCCTGGTGCTCCGCCGGGGCTGAGCCCGTCCAGTGGACATGCTATTGCTAACCGTCCGCGCTAACGGGCATTGCTTCCGACCACGAGCCTTCTGGGATGGAGCTACCCGCGTGGGATAAAGTTGCCCGTCCAGCCCGGAGCAGGTGGATTGAGGTATGGAGGTGAAGGATTTGACTATCCTGAGGATGAAAGCGATGGAACAGAGAAAGATAATGTCGAATATTGTGTAAATCTACCCACGGATTATGTCCTTTTTTGTAACATGTTTAATATTGATTTCATAAAATACCAATTAAGTGCGTGTTTTAGGCCTAGACATCATAGTCGGAGCTCATCAGCCATATGAGACAGTTGGCGGAGAAAATTTTCCTAACTTATTGCATTTTTTTGCATTTATTGCAATTCATTGAAACAAAAGCTTTCATGTCCAAAGCGCATCCTTCTTTGAGATACCAGACCCGAATCATGCGACGAGAACCCGTGCCTAAAATAAAGCGTCATCTACCGAGACATGTTTTGTATACCCGCCACAAGAGGCGCTGCAGGTCTCGAACATTGCCCATCCTGAACTGAGTTTCTCTAGGTCTTGTTTTGTTCAATATAGTCTCCGTGCATTTCTATCCATTTATTTACTTCTCGATTTTGTTATTTCTTGTGTACTGCAATGGCTAAACCCTTCTCTTTTGGATGGTAGTGTCCCGTTGGAACGGTACCGTCCAAAAGGTCACGCTACTCAGCTACTCAAACGGTCACTTAGAAAGGCTCCTTTCAGATTTATATCCATTCAACGATTGTTTGGTGGGATGACCAGGGCCATCAGCCTGGACGAGGTATTGAGAGCTGATGTACCTAACAATATAAGATACCCGTTTAGTAGAATGATGATTGAATTGTGCAAAACCACAATTTAATTGAGTCGTTTATATCAGCATGCATGTTGCAGCTATTCGAATGGTTTGTTTACAAACCCACCCTCCTTGGCCTCAGCCACGATAGACAAAAATACTCTGCCTCAGCTTTACTCACGAGTCCATCCAGCCCCGTCCTCGTATTACAATAGCACCAAGCGGAGGCGGGTGGCACGACGCGCCCTTGGCCGGAGCTGGACGGAGCGGTGCGGGGGCGGGCCACGGGACTGACTGCCGGCCCGGAAATACCGTTCATCATTGGCACTGACATCACAGTCGACGGAGGCAGCGGCGGCCGCATCGGGAGCCGCGTATGGCAGCTGCAGCCAGGGACGGAGACGGCGTCCCAGCTGCCCCCGCAGCCCCCGCGGCCCGGCCCCGCAGCCTCCGCAGCCGCCCCCGCTAGTCGACTCGCAGCTTCTACAGCTCATAGTCTGACTCATATCCCTGGCTCACGGGTCTGACTGCATCATGGTGGTTAGTCACACAGTGATGATAACGAATAAAAAAGCCAAAGTTGTGAACTCGGAATTCGGATTCATTTCGTTCTTATTCAATACGACCAATTTCAATGCGACCAATCTATGCTCTAGTGCCCATGCCTCCTTATATCCTATGGAGCATGAAGGGCTGCCATCTCCCTCGCTGCATTTGGCGCTTAAAATGACGTAAGCGTCATTCGAGATAAAGCGGAAACCGAGAAACGGTGAACCATGCATTAGTCAGCAAAGACGTTGCATCGGTGCTATGCATGCATATGTCGGTACTCGGTATTAAACATAAATATGATAAATCCCTGTAGGATGTTGGTCAACTCACTGCACCTGCTGTTTCTGCCAACTGCCAACATTGTCTCTAAATCACGGGTGTCGCATACAGCCTGCCATTCAGCCGCGGATGAAACTGGGAGTTCACGGGGGAGAAGGTCCTATACACCTATCCGTGCTTCTATCCTCAGGATACTGAAATCCTTCTCCTCCACACCGCCACCCCCTTCCGGGCTGGACAGGCAACTTTATCTCATGCGGGCTGCTCCCTTGGAGCGGCACCGCTGCTCCCGAGGGAGCGTACCCCGTAGCCGGGTGCAGTGAGTGCCTTGGGGTTGGGTGGCCTGTCTTCGGACGGGCTCAGCCCCGGCGACTCACTAGGATGCCTGCCCAGACCAATGTCTCCCCCTAATTCCTATTATCCTTCCGGCTCTGCAATGGTCTTGTCGACCGAAAGGGCCTAACCCAACAAAACAAACAAACAAGGTCCTATACGACCAGGTGGCCGCGCCGCTGTGCCCCAGGCAGCGGAGGAGCCCTCCCCACAGGTGGAAGAGCGGCGATTCGCCAGGATTACGGCGTTATTGCAGTCACCGAGTGCCACTTTCGCCACATGTCTGGCTCAGGTGGCTCTGGCTCAGGTGGCTGGGTACGATCGGTGTAACCCGGTACTAAACGTCACCAGATGGCCAGCCGTACGGCGTTCGTGTGCGCTCTACCGCAAACCAACTCCGGATGCGGCGCTTTGTCGTTTGGCGTACGGTGGGTCAGGTGACAGAGCCGGCAGTCATGTCTGAGGCCCGGATATTTGGGGTATCTCGGAGCTGACATATGCCCGTCATTGGGTGACGGCTGACGGACGTGGATGTCGTAAATAATAAACGTTACTGAAGAAACATGCATTTTAGGAATTGTGGCGCAGTTTAGGGATTTTTAAGAGCTTTTATGTTTCGTGAGCCAGCTCGCTAATTCAAACGACCTACGCATATGTGCCTTTTATGTGTCTTATCTGTAAGTGTGCACTAGCCTGACCCAATGTTAGAGGGTAGGGTAAAAACAACGCGTGACGTATCAACTCAAGTGTATCTTTCAGGAAGCCTTCTGATTGCCGAGTCAGTGGAACGTGAGGCGCCTTACTGATTTTAAGCTCGCCAAATCCATTATAAGGCTTCCACTTTGCATAAACTGACGTCCGTCTGGCGGACAAATCCGCTGGCGGTCGGGTCATGAAGGCCGGGTCATGAGGGCTGGGTCGTAAAGAACGAGTCATCAGGGTCGGGTCATGAACTCATGCGTGATTCCGCTACCGAGGGCTTGGTGAGGTGCATTGGTCCCTCTCGAGCTAACCTAACCGTCTGACTCGAGAGACCAGGACCGTCCCCCCCCCGCCCCAACAAAAACTCCATGCTCTCGGCTCCATCAATGGCTGGTATCGAACGACTTCTCGTTTTTCCTTTCTTTCTGACAATGCGCTTCAAGTTCGGTGTTAAGTTTAAGACAGCCGGCCCTTACGGAGTGTTCGCCGACCAGGATCCCTTCCCTTGGGCGGCTACGTCCCGTTATGAGATGTCCTGCCGCCGTGTTTCTCGACGATTCCTTTCGTATCCAGTGTCCGCCGCCAGTGCTGTCAGAAAATGTGTCCGCCTTCCCAGACAGCGGCGGGATATAATGTTAGTAAAACATGCAGTGCTAGTCAGCCGTGCCAAGCTCTAATTAGCCTAGTCCGCACCACCCCTATCCCCGTCCGAGCCAAGATCAATAGTCGCTGGTCAGATCTTCTCGCTACTGGAGGCTGAGTTCTCGGTAGAATGGGTGCTACCAAGATTACTTTACTACGGTGCTACCACTGGCCATGCGCTGTCGAAGAACACCTACATCGTGTCATTATTGAGCAGCCTGCATGCACGACATCCGTGTATAAATGTCTGACTATCCAAATCTGACACATATGACATTTGTTTCAGGATACTTTCCGGGTGACTGGATTGAAAATATTTTGTGAATCATTTCAGTGTTTAGGAATAAGTCAGCCATGAGTCAAACGCAGCCTTCTATCCCATACTTACCATGAATCAACCGCATACTTCTAAGTTCTATGCTCCATCTTTGTCGTGAATCAAGTATCAACCGTGGCCTTTCTAATCCATCCCTGTCAGTGTCGTCAGTCAACCGTGGCCTTTCTATCCCATCCTTCACTTATCCAAGGTCTTTCCAGCCACTGCGTCCCGTTAGCCATGGGTGTGGCCGGTCGTAAGACCGTGAGTCGCCCCGTGCCGGCCCCAGTTCTAGCGCCGCCGGCGAGGGCGCGGCGCACATCCTCTATAGCTCACATGGTCAGCCTGAGGTCGACCGCCCTCCCCTCCCGTCCGATAGGGCTATCAGGGCAGTGCAAGCGCCTCCCCCCCGCTCGGGGACACCCCTGTGGCCATGAACCGCAGATACCGCCGCTGCAGATAGGTCCAACTGCGCCACTGGCCAGTACTCTGTACCGAAACAAACGGATGTGGTGGCGCTGGGTTGAGATTGTTTTATGTTTGAAGTTCAACCACCACCATGCCTTTGACCGCAGAGCGACAGTTGCTGCACTTTTGCAGTTATAAGTGCGAAGAAAGAGAGCACATATAAACAAAAACACTTATGCTTAGAGCAGCAGATAATAGTTCCGGTTACAAGTAACAAGTAACCATGTACGATTTACCATAATTCTGGCAGTGCCGACTACTGACTGCCAAACCAAATCACCTTACCTAATGCAGCAACATTGGTCAATTGGGCATACGATTTGCCTCATACCTAATTTTTCACATGATTAGATTACTTATTTATCGGTGATCGAAAATTTAGATCCGTTTAAAAAGTAGGTAGGCGAAGAGACGGTTGGCACTCTTGAATTTATGTATAGGTTATCATTACACTTAAGTTACATTCATAAAATCATTTTTAACGTTACATAGGTAGGTGTCTGTCTACTTCATTAAATTTGATGTAATGGATTGTGATTTTTTCGCCATGAATCATGATTACTGTAAACAAAAGGATAGAGACGAACACTCATTCTGTGTTTTGGTCTTTTCGATTGCTAAAATTATACATTTGTGTAATGTTAATGCTAAAT